CGGGATGTTTGATAGGAAACATGCCTAAAGAACTCACCTATGCATGGGTGGAGATTTGGTTGTTTCTTATGGTGTCTTCTGAAAAGATTCCTAGGGCCCTAACTAAAACTAGGACATGCACAGGGCCATAAATGTGTAAGGCCAAGGCAAAGGCAAAGGCAAAGGCAAGTGTGGTTCAAAGTGAAAACTATCACAGATGAGTTTGATATTGTGTGATCGCCAGATGAGTTTGATATTGTGTGATCGCTAGATTTTAGATAAGTGATGGTTTAAGTCTTTGCAATGCCATGCATCTATCTTTTATTAAGTTGGTCTAAGGGGAATTTAAGTCCTTACGACATCTACCTTATACACAATGATTGAAACAACGGTACCGTTACACGACACTAGTTTAAAAACTTATGGGGGATTGTTGGATTTTTTGGTCAAAACCACTTTTAAAAAATGAGTCAAACTATGTATTTATCAATTACTAATATTTTTCAGAATCCTTAGTAGCGTAGCGTAAAGTTAAAGTTTTGATATCTCAAAGGTCCTGTGTTCGAGGCTTGCCAACGACAAGTTAAGAATTGTTTTTTATTTAATTAATCCCTCATAATTTCTAATGGGCTGTGGGCCGTGGACTGTGGGCTCGTGAGCCGTGGGCCAATGGGCTAGGGATCGGGGCTAATCGGGCTGACACGCTAAGTTGCGCTTTGTTAGGCGCACTTTGCACTTCGCACAAAGGCATCAGAGCTAGGTGGCGTCACGTTGGCCGCCACCCAGGTGGCATCGTAGGCTACCACACAGGATTGCCTCGTAGGCTGCTTCACAGCATGTAGGTGAGCCTCGTGTTCGTAGCTCTGGCGAGCCTCGCGTTTACAGCTAGGGCGAGCCTCACGTTCCCATGAGGGTGCGACCCTCGTGTTCACAAGAGGGGACGTGTCCCCCGCATTCGCACCAGACTGGACGTGACCCTCGTGTTGCGCAGGATCGCGACTCTCGCGTTCAGACGTTACTGTATGCAGCAGTTACATCATTTTTGTTATTTGTTGTTACAAACATAATTGTCATAATTGTTATTATGTTTGTAAAGGTCAAATTAAATGTGGGTGATCTTTGAGCTGGTCTTAGAGACCTATATATAGTGCCTCTTGGGGAGCACTTGGATATATGTAAAAAGAGATACGAAAAACACACAAGTGTTTTGTGCTGTTGTGCTGCTGCTGCAGAGTCTGAAAGCGTGAAAGTTTTAGTCTGTGTTTGAAGGAACATAGCTCTGAACCGAAAGATCTTTGCCTGAACCGAAAGGTTATTGAACTGAAAGGTCTTAACAAATCGAGGAGACCTTGATAGTACTTGGTCGGTGCACACCAGTATACTGTACTGTTTTTCCTGGAAGCAGTTTGGCTTTGAGATCCTTGCACCGGAGTAGGTCAAATATTGCCTTAAGCACAACGTTTCATAAACACACAACAGCTAAACTTGAAAAAGTTTTAAAAATATAGCACTTTAACTATCTAACAGATTTATCTGTTTTATTCCAGATTTAGCCACAGGCGCCAACAATATTTCGTAACACTGATGAGAAAGATGTCATGAAATGATTTCAATAAATGAAGCTAAGAAGAATGTAATTGTAAACACTATACTATAATTGAAAATGTAATTTCGAGATGTTGAGATACTGTATAACTGTGCTAAAATTTTTATACGTAATCTATCGTGTTTTATTATTTTTTGGCCTCCCCTTACCAAAATTTGTTGCCCGACACTGCATGCAACAAAGCGTCTTGGTTGTCTACACCGCTTTAAGTATTGAGTGGACTGATTGGGTACTTGGCAATTGAAAGAGGGTAAACTACAGCATGAATGCCCATATTCCCAAATTCCTTATCTTCCAGTTAACAAGATCTATTAGATTTTTTTTATTCAGTTCTGGTATTCGCTTGTGTTGAAAGTAAATCTCGTGTATCCAATGAAAGATGAAATTAGAAAGATTGATGGGTAGCTAATGCGTTTAGATTCTATAGTGACATAGCATAATTTTTTTTGGGGTGGATTAGGACCAGACTTAGTAGTACTTCTAATATAATATGTCAGTTATTCATATTGAGGAATAAAGGAAGGTCCACATGTTTGCCAATTGAGTATATATATATATATACACAAACACCCACTATTATAAAAGAAGATTACTATGTTAAAACTTTTGATTGTTTTCTTGCCCTTTTAATTTTGATAATTTGTAATTATTTCCATTAGCTATAATTAATCTTTAACTAATTACACATACCTCTTATTAACTATGCCTTCTCACTTTTTACACTCTATAATTAATAATTTATAATAATAAAATAATATAAATTTAAGAGTTATACTATTTTAAAAAAAAAGTAGAAGATACTATTATTTAATAATATGGTATAAATATGTAATGATATAAATAGTATATACAATTATTTTAGTAGTATTACTTAAATTAATAATAACCTTAATTATATTATTAAATAAATAGTTATCTGATAGTTATAAAAGAGGATAATGACTTATTGTAATTATCCTAAATTACCGTTGTACTATTATGATAATCAAGAGACATTATAATACTAAATAAGGGAAGGCTTTGAAGAGAATATGAGAGGGTGACTATGTATGCAAGGTTGAGAGATTGAGAGACGAGAGATAAATGATTCTTCTCATAAATTCTCCCTTTACATAGTGAATATCTCCTACTATGTCCTGTGGATGTAGGTCGAACTTAATCGATCGAATCATATAAATCTCAGTGTTATTCTTCTTGATCGTAATTATTTTCCATCTTGTAGATTGTGATCAGTTTTCCGGTTACGAATATCACAAATAGTGGGGACTAAAATCCCCAACAATTCATAGAATAATGCGTTACACTAAGAAACTGAAGTATTATAACACATCCATAAAAAATTCTCTATAAACTGGCGGAAAATTTTCGTCCTTTGAACAAGTAGGGAATAATGTTTAGTCAACTACGATATAACATGAACTTAGTACAAGAAAATCTATGCTAAGATGTACTCTAGTAGGTTACCTTGATGCGAAGGACAAGATACGAGATCACGCGAAGCACCAAAATAATGTTCCAACTCCCTTACCAACCTCTATATAACAAAGAACTCCTAATTTTCAGCACAAGATACCCAAAGGTTACCACTTCAGGAAATGGCTTGCAAATAGAAAATAGCCGTTGATATTGGCATTGGGATCCGTGATAGATATGAAGAATCTTTTAAGATTTGTGCATCTTTTGATGGCACAAATCTTGAGACAAGATGAGTGGGATAAAAAAGTTTGGTGGATAAGAAGCCTCCTATCCACTTAATTAGTGGATAGGAGTTTTACTCTCTCTCCTCTCTCTCTCTCTCTCTATATATTATATATATATATATATATATATATATATGAAAATATCCAAAAATCTTGAGAATCATATTGAATCCTTCCAATCATTCGCGCGTCACCCACCGTTCCAACAAATAGATAATATAATGATTAAGTCATCAATTTTCCTATTTTTCTTTTCTTGTTTTAGAATGACAAGACCATTAACTGACACAACTCTGTGCTGCCTATTTTCATAGTCGAAAATGCTATTTGTCACGTGAGATTGGCGTGCAGCCCATCTCGCATGAGAGAGGTAGGGGTGGGACCCAACCCATCCCGCGTGACAAATAGCAAAACCCTTTCATAATGCCTGTTATTTAACCAGATTGCCAACAAAAGTTAATAATTGATTCTGAAATACTTCGCAGTTTTATATCCCACTAAAGTGGTTACAACAAATACAGTTGCACACAAGTGATAGGCCTATTTGTCTCTCTCACGAGCAAATGGACTGCATAAAAAAGAATATGCTAAACTTCTATTACAAATAAATGAATAAATAATGAACCAGACACAAATGCAAAGAAATAAAAGTGTATAGATTTATTAAAGAAGGTAGAGTTTCAGAGGGACGGGGAGCACGAGCTTGACTACCAAGGCGCGGGACGCGCAAAAATATGACTTGACCAACCACCCCCACCCCAAAAAAGAACTTTTTTGGATCCGCAAATTTGGAGACACTTGCATCTTTTACGCGCTTACTTCATTTTCAAAAGCCTTTATTGTTATTTTTATCATAATGTTATGAAGATTTTCATTGTCAGACACCGACCGAATTTTTTTGGTATCTCCCTATTTGTCCACTTTGTCTACGCGTTATGGACTTCAAAAAAATGGGAAACACCCTTGAGAATGGCCCTCATTTGATTGGTTTACAAAGCTATGAAGATTAAATTAAGAACTAATACTCCATGACTTTTCAGAACTAGGTACTCAAGTACAAGTAATAAGCTTCTTCGCTGAGCTCAGCTTTCAAGAAATGAACTTAAATCTATGGCATAAGAACTTGATTATGATCGGCAAATGGGATCGTTGACAAAATCATACGACCGGATAGATAATTGCGATAATTTTTTTTATCGTTGATGCCTGGTTTCCTCTCTTTACTATTCGAAAGCTTGAATTGACCGGACCAAGGAATTATTAGAATACTGACTTCTAAATTGGTTCTTGAGAAGCCCAAACATCAGAAGATTTTGATGATCAAGTTTCATTATGTTGAATATTCATGCGTGAGTATATATAGTCTCACATTAAATAAGATTAAAAAGAGTTATGAATTTAAAATAGATTAAAATTGGTTCCTAACATCCCTAATCCTTGTAACGAAACTTGAACTCGGACCTGACCTAAAGCGATCAAGGTCAGGTCCTGGTCCTGTATGAAACAGTATACCCTGAAGTTTCACTAAAGTTTCATACTCCGTGGCTTAAATATTCTTGCATCACAAGTTAACTAATTGCGCAAGACTAGAACTGATTAGATATAATATGCTCTTGACTTCAAGTCCAAAAGACAGCCAACATTACACGTGTTATGTTTGTTCCTACTTGATGATGGGGGCAAAAAAAGAAAAAAACCAATCAGCATCTTCACAATTAGGCAAAATCCATCGAATACCAAAGCTTCAAAAGCTTTAAGAGCACAAGCTCATCATCAGGATTTACTTGTTTGTCACATGAGTTCCGTCTTCCTACATAGTTCTTGATAAGCTTTAAAAAACTATACAACAAACTTGAGACACAAAAAGTATACACTGAGAACTGAGGATTGATGTGTGGTAATCCAAGAAACATACACATCACTTGACTTTGGTGGTATCTTCTTGAGGATCGCGAAGAGTTCCAAGCATCCAGTCCATCCAGACGGTATAATGCCCGTAGTTGTGGCGATAGGTTGTAACCGGCCCCCATAACAGGCCATATCTTGCCATGGATGCAGTCGTGAATATTTGCTGTCCAAACTGCTTCGATGAACAATAGCACGATATGGGTCATGAAATGGGTCGGGATGAGAAACAGGCATATGACATGAGGAACAGCCTGTAAGATCCCATCCAATGGATGAAATGCCAATCCTGAAAAAAAATCGATCACGGACTGCTTTGAAAATATACTGACTATTACAGCGGACACTTGGGTAACTAGATCAAGGGTGAACCCGTAGAAAAACTTCTAGTAGTGTGAGTTTCAAGTCACAAACCTTTGATGTGTTACAAGTATTATTAGTTAAGCTACCATAAATATGGGCAAATATGTGGCTCACACTGTAGAAACTGGGCCAGACGTTTTATGAAACTTCTTACAACAGAAAAATGATAATTCCTGTCATGGATTTGTTTTCATGTTGGTCGTTGAGATGCACCTTGTCTGCTCATTCTTGAACTATTCACTAAATTATACAACCCCATTGGACAGCACTGGAAACAAGTTATTGTAACATATTTAGAAAATCCTTTCGATTAACTACTGAATGTGGATAGTGTGCCGCGTGTAGATGAAAGTCACAGAGTATATAGCAGCATACACAGAATATATAGTGGCATATCAAAGAATAATAATTTGAGTATTACAACGTCATTTTCATAGCATCCTCGAAACCGTAAAACCATGTACCATTCAGCCCGAGAGATTAAAAATCTCACATCAAAGTCATTTTCGTAGCATCTCCTAAACCATAAAACCATGTGCCATTCGACCTGAGATTAGAAAGTCTCACATCGCATAGTTGATCATTGCTCAATCAGGTTGTAGGAAGTTTCATCTATATTCACTACTCAATTTTGGAGTATCGTAATAACTTTATATTACCTTGCATAATATATCCTTATTTGATGTGGTGATGTATTGAGATGAAGGATACGTTGTAAATATGAGATTTATAAGGGGTTTTACGCAAATCATGGACGTGGCAATATAGGAGAGAGGGGACGGACATTTGCCGCACACTTTATAGGAGGCGGATAGGAGAAACCCTCTCCCCCACCCACCCAAAAAAAGAAAAAAACAATACTCCTTGTTCCATAGCAAATTAGAAAAGAAAAAAGAACATAAGAAAGGAATAGGAGCATCACAAGAAAAGAAGACATACTATTTATCATCAAACTTTTTGAACTTTTTCATTCGACCACCAGTTATCTTTATCATCTAGTCTCCAACCCTTAGATTATTTTAGAATTTTTGCGGTGTCTTATTAATATAAAAAGACATACTATTAAACATAGTATTACTCTCTATATCTTTCTTCAACTATCTTATCAAAATGCACTAAATTCTCTCCTTTTCAATTCGATCATTTAGTTCTTAGTCTTTTATGCATATTTGTCTTTCTACTCCACTTCTTAATAGAAATGTCTAATACTATCAAATTTTGTTGTGAAATTAACCTATGTTTTGGTAGAATCTAAGGGTTGTGTAATAGTGTCATCAAGCATAATTATTTGCAAAGTCTAAATCATTATTTGCATTTCATTTTTTTTCATCTAAAAACTCCATGTATCCTCTCGTACATTATTTTATTTGTTGATATGCCCATAATGATCTCCTATGCATATTTGTTCTCCTCCTTGTATTTTTATACTATTCATTCAAGTTTCCAAAATTCCTTTCAATATTCTCAATCATACTTGTGCATAAGCAGTAACAATATTATCTAGTTCTACACCTTATGCAATTTTTACTAATATTATTTTTATCTACAACTCTTTTTCTATCTACAATGTTATCATTTAATGTGTTACCTACAAGTACTCTCATCTCGTTTTTATTCTTCTCTTTCTCTACATACCAAAATTTGTACTCATTATTCTCAATCTCTTTTAGACCTTTTCACCCTATCCATTTAGTTGCTTGTAAAAAAATTTAATAAACTTTTTTACAATAGTCATATCTACCAATTACAATCTTTCATGTAACTGTTCCTATATTCCGAGTAACAACCAATCTTATTCTCTTATACAAGCATATGACCTATGTTACCAGGGACTTCTAATCTGAACCCGTACCCGTATCCAAACACCTTGGACACTCCTTGCATATATACATACATTTATTTAGACATGTACTAAACTACACAATACATGTTTTAATTCAAAACACTTGTCATAAATAATTTGGACATATATCCTACACTTGAAACTCGTCGAACACATGTTAGGTTCCAAATTATAATTTTGAATGGTCATTTGGATGTTTCGTTCAAACACTAGTCATTTTCCAATTTATAATCCACATAATAAAAGAAATACAAAAATTTTATAGGAATTTTAATTCACATCCTCGTTCACACATAAATTATTAATGTGTATATAAATATTTATATAGATGTATCCCTATACCCGACCTTTTATAAATTTGCTGTGTCACATACTCGTGCTCATACATATGCAATATAGCATATGACCCTTCTCTCTTATTATTCTCTAGTCAATACCTATTTGTGTTAGTCATCGTATCTTAGGACCAATGTTCAAAAAAACGCGTTATAACCTGTTTCATTACCTAACGGGACCAATATGTTACATAACACACAAAAAACGCGTAGTGCGCTTAACGATCCAAACAACCCAATAAAACACATTTTATGGTGCGTTATGTTAAGGGTTTTAAAACCTAGGTTTTTTGGGTTATATCATGTATCATTTGGACACGTATTATTATGTTCCACCATCCAATTCTATCCTAACTCTTTTTGAGTCTTTTCTACTGAGAAACCCTAGCGCCCCAACTTTTCATTCCGATTTCTCCCAGCAACAGGCTAAAAAACCCCAATCTTCCCCTCATCTTCATCTCCATCGACGACAAGATTTCAGCTCTCACTCCTTCGCTCTCTCCATCTCTATCTCCATCGACCACAAAATCTCCATCAATGATGAGATCTTAAGTCCTAGCTCCTCCACGGCTCTCTCCATATCTATCTCCATCGATGATAAGATCTTGATCATAGCTTCTCCTAGGCTCTCTCCATCAGTCCATCTCTATCTCTAATGACGACGAAATCTCGCTGAATGGTACTCTCCAGTGAATCAGCCTCTTCAGTGAGGTAACAAGGTTTTATTGTTTTATTTTTCGTTAAATTTATATTATTATGTTAAAAGTTATTTACAATGAATTAGTCCAAGTTACTCTAATCTAATCAACACGCAAACACTGATTTTCATTAAAGTAGCATCTAAATCAATTTGATAGTTTGACAGTTGTTTAGTTTGGTGATTTTGATTTATAAACTAATTGTTTGATTATGATTAAAGAGGAAAGTGAAACAATAGGAATTAGAATGGTGGTTATATTGATTTTTTCTAAGAAGCACTAGGATGGTTGACTCAATTTAGTTGTGAATTGATGTATTTTGTTTGTAAATTGATAATCTGATTTGCTTGTTTGTTTTTAAATATGTGCAGTAGAAAAGAATATTGAACAATGTCTAGCTTTAAGAGTTTAGGTCCCGCTAGAGAGCATGATATTTGGAAAGAGGAGGAATCCTATCAGTCTCTATTGCAAGTATTGCAATCACCATATCATGGCGGGTGTATACGAATGAAACATCACTTAGCTGGTACTCGGAAAGGCATGAAGAAATGTGAGAAAGCTCCAGCAACAATGAAAAAGCAATGTGCAGAACTTCTGAAAGGAGTGGAATTAGGAAAAGAGAGAAAGACAGCACTGGCTCAATCAATTGCAAAGGATGGAAGAAGATCCAATCCAACAGGAGATTGATGATATTGAGGCACAAAGCGGACATGATAGCAGCAGCCAAATCCAACAATCTAGAACATTTGGTCCCTTGGATCAATGACGATTGAGAGTAGAATAAAAAAAGAAGAGAGAGATGTGGTAGTTCAGAAGATTTATCTTTGCTAACAGATCATCATGCAACATCTTGAACAGTTCGTACTGGAGAGAGATGGCAGAGTCAATGGGGAAGTTTAGGCCCGGTATGAAGCTTCCTACTCATCTCATAAGGACTCGTGTGCTAAAGAATGAAGTGGAGAATATAGATGCTATAAAGGCAACTCATAAGAAGGCTTGGGAGAATTATGGGTGCACTAATATGTCTGATGAATGGTCGGATAAGGAAAATAGGAGTTTGATTAACTTCCTCATGAACTCACTGGAGGGGACTTTTTTACAAGTCCATTAATGCATCAGCAGCTATTAAGGACGGGGAATATCTTTTCTAAAGTATTGATCAGATGGTGGAGGAGATTGGGGAGGAACGTTCTCTAAGTCATCACTGAAAACCATTCCTCCTATGTGCTTGCTGGGAAGAAGCTTATGAACAAGAGTAAGTCACTTTATTGGTCACCGTGTGCGGCACATTGCATTGACCTTATGTTGGAGGATATTGGAAATATGAAGATACACCGAGAGACTCTTGAAAATGCAAAAGCGGTGATATAATTCATCGACAACCATTATTGGGTCTTAAGCTTGATGAGAAAGTACACGTGTGGGAAGGAGCTATTGAGGCTCGCTGTTACTCGCTTTGCCACATCCTTCAGGACACTGTAGAGGCTGTATTCCTTAAAAGATCCTTTGAAAACCATGTTCAGTAGTGAGGAGTTTCAGAGGAGCACTTGCGCAAAAAATCCAAAAGGAGTGAAGGCAAAGAAGAAGGTTTTTTACACGAGAGGGTTTTGGGGAAAGGTGCTTTTCTGTTTTACCACTACTCTTCCACTTGTTCATGTCCTTCGAGAAGTGGATTCAGATGTGAAACCCTATATGTCATTCTTATATAAGATGATGGATAGTGCAAAGGAGAAGATCGCAGATACATGCAACGAAAAGAAGAGAGTGTACATGCCTCATTGGAAATTAATTGATTCTAGATGGACGAATATGTTGCATCAAACTATCCATGCCGCCGCTTACTACCTCAATCTAAGATATTTCTATGAGGATAGATTTAGTGAAGATTTGGAGGTGAAGAAAGGTCTGGGCATGTGCATGAACAACATGATCTTCGACGAAGGTGAGAGAGCAATAACCGATTGTGAGCTGGATGCTTATAAGGATAAGAGAGGAGAATTTGGAACATCCATGACTCAGAAGACCCTTACTCAACATAGTTCATGTATTAATTTAACAATTTATCAAAATTTTCAATAATAATGGTGCTTGTTATGTTAATTCTCGATCTCTAAATGCATAGCTTCTTGGTGGGAGAGATTTGGCGATGAGACTTCTACACTAAAGTGATTTGCAATTCGTTTCTCTCACTCACTACTAGTGCATCTGGATGCGAGCGTAATTAAAGCACTTTTGAGCATCTACGGAAAATTTCAATTCTAAAGTTTAGCTTAATATCATTAATCTTAGGAACTCACAAGTTGTTATCCTTTCATGAAGGTCCACTCGAAAAAGAGAGGTTTGGAGTAGGAATGACTTAACTCTCTTATGTATGTCATGTACAATATCAAGTTCAGAGAAAGAAATATACGGAGGAGGATGCATAAGATGGATCCAATTTTATTAGATGAGATACCTCCTAATGATGAGTGGATAGTCGAGGGGGAGGAGCCTTGTCTTGCGAACGATCCGAGTTGGCTAGATGGTGATGACGAAAAGAGCAAGTATCTCAATGTCGTTGCAATTAATAATATAGCTACTGTGAAAGAAGATAAGGAAGATGTTCCAACAACAAAGAAACAAAGAGTTGATGGTTCTTGTAAACGTTCTTAGATCACTTTAATGTTTTGTCTACTTGAATGAATATTTGAGTTTTTGATTGAAATTATTTCTACACTCTATAGCATCCTCTACACGTAATGGAAAAGAGATCGCCACTGAAGATGAAGTGGATCCTAAGGATGCAAATTACATTCTAAAGGAGGATGACTTAGTTGTTTTGTGAGAGATCTAGAGGATGATGATTTTATCTTGTAAGGTTTATTACAGCTTGAAACTTAAAAGCTGAAACTTGGAAGTGTTTGATTTTGTTAAGACTTATTTGATTGCTTTAAACTTAAACGTATTTGATCATTTGATGATGCTTTTTGGAGTGGTTATTGGTCATGTATGACTAATTTTTGTTAAGTAATTGCGATATTATATTTCTATATTTGATAATTATGATGCTATGGTTGAAAATTTTAATGATTCTAATTAATAAAGTCATTGTAATTATTTATATTTATAGAATATCTAAAAAATTAATAAACAATATAAACCTACGTTATGCGTTATTTTTTGTGGTTTTTCCATGACCCTTAACAATAAATAAGTCTTATGTTATGCGTTATCATTTTTTTCAATATTGCTTAGGACATAGGTGGCATCAAAAGATTCTCTCACACATTTGCTCACTTATCATTACACTGAATGGCATTGAGCTTTTATGGGACACTCTTGTAAACCATCCTTACTTTCCTATCATTGCACTGGCTTCAATGTAACACATCGTTACTTTCCTATCATTGCACTAGCTTTTCAATGTAACACATCACAGTAGACACACACCCAAACAAATATTCTTAGAGATTCATATTCACAGTGATCCAAGTCATCTGATTAGGTTTTACACTGATTGCTGTCTACCTAATGTCATCTTTCTTCATTACTGTAACTTGGAACATGCAAGGAGGAGAAATGGAGCAAGATGAAGGGTATTTTAGGGATAAGAAAAAAAAAAGATAGAAGAAAGAAAAGTTGGGCCAAGAGATGTGGATGCATTTGACTTTTTTTTTCAAAAGAGGATGTCGGTGTTCTTCTACTAAAGGGGGCTCAGAAGCAATTTTCCCAAGAAATAATGATCTAATTATGCTTTTCCGAAAAAAGAACATTGACCATAATTACTCTATTTAAAACTATGAGAAGAATGAAGTTTTACCTACTAGGCTATTAGTCTTTAATTTTGTACAAAAATTCAAAGAAGGTGAGAATGAGTTTAGCAAGACGTGTTTTGCTAGCTTTTATTGTGCCACAAACATGCGCAAGAGGATAGATAATAAAGAACAACACTGACAAAGTTAAATTTATCTATATACCAAAGTAAGGCCCTAAATTGTCACTTGGCAACTTGTAGTTATTTTGGCTTTATTTTGGTTTTTTTAATTTTTCTTTCTTCTTCCTTTTTCAACCTATCTACTCGTAAAATATAATGAACATATAATTAGCAACTAAACTTATTCATCTCTACCACCTTTGTTGAAACCCCTTCAAATTCTTCAACTTCACCCATTTAAGTACCCCTTAACTTAGTAGCCCTTTAACACCTATTAATTCTATCAATTTCATGGATCATAAACTTATTCATATCTCATTCCATAACCCCCTCTCCTCTATTATATATATACATGATCTCATTTTCCCCCAACAGGCTCCTATCAACATGTTCATTTGGCTTCCTTTTATGTTTCTATGACAGAGAGAAGTTTTCTACTCTTAGCAATGACACAATGGAGTTGAAAGTTGATCTAAAACTATAATATACTTTCTTACTTGGGCAGTTTATTTCACTTTATTCTCTTCGTTCTTTCTACTTGCCCCTCACTATAAATATAATTTATTTAATAAATTTAAATCATAATTCAAGTACTAATGCCTAAAAGAAAATACTTTTAGTAAGAGGATTATCTCAACAATAAAAATTGTTGTTGTCTTTTTTAGTAAATAATTATACTTGGAATTATCTTCTTTTTAACAAAAAACTATGTGCCTTAGAAAATTTCGCAGCATTGCGCAGGTACAAGACTAGTATGATATTAAATTTGGTACTTGATGCAAATTGTCTTTATTCAGAATACCAGATTAAATTAATATTATATGATTAGCTACTTGAGTTACAGTCTTCAAATTAGGGGTTGGAGCTCTAAGCTTTAGTATATTTAATCTTTTATGCAAATAAAGGTAGATTTTAAATAATAAGAATATATTATAAACAAAACAAATGTTGCCTAAATGATAAGCAGGTTAAAGAATTACTGTTGTGTTCAATGACCGCAGCTTGAATCCTGAGAGACGCATAGATCATGAATTGTTTTTATTTTTTCGAAATCAAATCGGACGAACTAGACCATGCTAAGAAACCGAATGGGCAAGTCAATTTTGGGTATTTGAGCAGGTGGCATAGCTTGTTATTCAAGTATCATCTAGCATTAGTACTAACATGAATAGGAGAAAATGCTTCCCACCAAGATGCCACTTAATGTAGCCCATAACAAGTAGGCATAGCTTCATTATGATTGAGACCCACTCATCGGATTGTGATACTAATTTCTTGATCTCAATATTTGATATTGTTTTAATCTTTGTTTTTCCTTTATGTGCTTTTCATAGTTACATGATGTTTATGTTATGTTTTCGTAATACAACCTTCTATCCCTACCAGATCATAATGTGTTAAATTGTTATCATATTACGTGATACATCTAGTTCATCTTACTCAAAACATCATAGCTCCGAGAACTCCCCTCCCTGAGGAACTCCCTTATCTTAGCGGCATATCACAAAAGGATTCTATCTTCAGTTTAAGTTGTTGGGAGTGCAATTCGGAGAGCGTGTGGAAAATAACTGACAAAATTCTCATCCCTTTAATTGTTGATAGGAGATTACGAATGAGGTATAAGAATGAAGAAATCAGCTTAAACTTTTTTGTTGTACCATATATTGAGCTATCTTATAGATGCATTTCCTAATGATTAACATTAGCACGTGTATGAGATATAAAATCATATTAAACTTAGAAGCCATGATCAAACATATATTAGTTGAAGATTATAAAAAGGAATTCCAAAGTTCAAGTTCTGGATTAAATATACTAAAGGAATATCCTATTTGATATCCAAAACCATAGAGGCTAGGATATCTCAACCAAATGGATGAGGATTGTGAAACTTTAAATAAAAACCATAGTATATATTATTAAAAAACTCGAATTTTGAACAAAAAGTACCTCAAGTTATCAATTAGAATTTCAAAAGGAAAGGTAAAAACTTACCAGCAAACGGTGAAAGTGTGTTCTGCTTGTTATAGATATGATGTGTGGCATGAAGATGCTTGTATAATGGTTTTAAGTCATGCAACTCTCTGTGCATCCAATATATTCCAAACTCACAAGTGGCTAGATATAGTACTAAATAAGCAATATACATGGGCCAGCTAACTTCATTGATACTTGAATAACATCTTGTCCAGCCACTTTCAACCATGTATTCCGAAAGTGTTGGGAGAGTAGAGTACCAAGGCATGGCCTTCATTGCAACTTTTATTTGCAAACGCATGGCGTGGTTTGAAGGAATTGCTTCTGCTCAAAGAAGAAGTTCAAGAAAATGTAGAGATATAAATAGAGGATTACCGGACAAAAACATCAACATACTATATTAATACTGTATGAAAAACAAGTCAGTTTTTGTATAATTCACAGCAAGTGATTTGAAATAGAGTACTACTGTTAGATAAACAAAAATTAAGGATCTTTGCACTGCAAAGCTTTAGTGTGTCTAGCATTACAAAGGCATTAAAAACCGAAACCTCGGCAACATGCTAAGTAGCAATTGTCATGGCATGAGAAGGATATATAATTGTAAATTAGAAGTTGTTATCAATAACATTAGGCTAATCATATAAGACACAATGATAACTAACATCGCCACAATTTAAAGGTTCTTGAACCACCACATGGTAGTGATCCATGAAGATTCCCTGTATCACTCATACAGTATAAATGAGAAGTAAAAGATCATAATCATATTTATCAATAGCTGACCCCTTTTCCCATCAATCAAGATGATAAATAACAATAGAACTGCATCAATCATTTAATGGATTATCTTTCCAGATAGTTATAGTTATCTTAGTTTAACTTACTTTCACGCTAAAATAACCGAACAACTTTTACTCTTTTTTCCAGAACTTCATGTAGAAATGTCAACCATTGCTGCTTTTCAAAAATGTTACCACTGATTTGAGTCACTAGACTCACTACTAGATCAATTACTACTCTGTGTCCACTTGATTTTCACCATGTGCAATAATGTAGAAAACAGAATTCCATTTCATCCAGCTAAGGTCTGTAACTTGGACCTTTCAAGATTTGTTCTCTCAGAGAACTATATATTTTTCTCCGTCTTCTTTTCCAGTAGTGTTTGCTAAGTTTTAACATTGAAATGACAAACACCATTAGCGCGAAGCCTATTTGCCTGAAGTTTTGGATTAAATGATCTCTGACATGATACCAAGGCACCTTCAAGAGGCCTTGGGTTCAGATCTCAACATTAATATTTCAAACATGTTCTTTATCAAATTTATTCTTCCTTTTCAAGAAAGCATGTCCACGGTAGCGACTTTTCCACATGGTCAAAGACCCACATGAGAGAGTGTTGAGCATTAAGAATGAATGATATACACTATGAAGTCCCAATTCTTAAACTTGGCTTGCTGGTGAATGGTTTCTAACAAAACTTAAGAGCATAAACATTTTTTATATGAGTTAACTGGATTTATAAATATTAGAATATATGTTTAGAAACAAAATATAAAAATAAAAAGGCTTCATGCTAGCTTTTCTTTTGTGTTTGAGGTGCATAACTCAAATGGAATGCAGATGATTTTTTTCAATTAGATAATTCAATTTAGATCAAACCTCCAAAATTAGCCCAATCCTATAGTAGGATATTAATTCACAAGGCCATATCAATGACTCAATGAGGACGCTAACATTCAGATCAGAAATACAAAGTTATATTACACTGGTAAAAGCGACTTGAAAAGAACTAGAAATCTAAGGATAGGGGTGGTAAACGATCGAATCCAATCAAATACTAAGGTGTTCGTATTTGTATTTGTTTAAAATTATTGAATTCAAATGCGGACTCTAATATTCATATATCTAGTTTTTTAAATTCGAACTCGAATACTTGGTATTTGATAAATATTCATGAATATTTACGAATACTTATCGAATATCAAAGTATATTTATTCTGCTAAAATTTTTGATTTTCAAATAATATTAAAATTCATAAATAAAAATTATTTCTTTATAATATATGATGTATATATTTAAATCAAAATTTTAATTAGAAAATAGATTTAAGATTATTTAAGTCTTAAAATAAGTATATAAAACTTAAGTAGAAATGGTAAATGAGTTAAAAATATGACATCATATGTGCAATAATACAAATAATAATGTGTGATCAAATTTCAAACAAATATTTAATAGACAAACGGATCGAATATACATCTGTTTAAATTCTATTCATTAGTACTAAAAAATATTTGTTTAGTGGTAAATGAACTACCGAATCGAATATGATTGAATAGTTATTCGAACAATTATCGAACTATTTGTTAATTATTTGGTTCATTTTCACCCCTATCTAAGAACCAATGTATCTATCATAGCATAAACATAACATTTTAGCTCTTACATTTAACGAGCTGCATGATCTACTCTTCCTTCTTTCTTGTTGTTGTCAGTGTTTAAAGCAGCAAATTTTAGTTAACTAACTTTAAGGGTAAGTCATCCATTAGTCTTCCTGAAGATGGGTTTCATAAAATACAATTTCAAGATATAGGGACGGAAATAGGAAGTGGTCTACCTCTTTTCAAAAACTTAGTTCTTAAACTAAGCTTTTATCACGAGTAAGTTTTTGGGAGAAGATTAATGAAAATAAACTGTACATGTAAAACACAGATGCTTTCAAGTTTTCAGAAAAGTTTACAGTAAACTTGGCTCAGGTTTCAGTATATCCTTGAAAAGAAAATGCCTTCTTCAGAATATTTGCCACACCAGTTAGCTTTTCAAATACTTGATAAAAGAACTACATAATACAAAGGACGGTGAATATTCCAAGAAAGATCAAAGAAAATAGAGAAAAGCAGACTTAAGTGAAAATAGATAACATACAAAATACACATTAGAATATCAAAATAATCCAGGAAAAAATATTTGTAAGCACAGGAATTACTATATAACTTCACTAGGTAAGTACAAGATCACTAGATGACCATATATTTAATTAATATAACCTAGTAATTGATCGCAATCAAGCACCAGTAGATAGTCAGAAAATACATCAATTAAGGCTGACGATGCACAAGGATACACCACTTTACCCTATTATTAAGGTAATGTAAGTTTCTCTTGTCCATTTAGCTAAAAAGATATGATAGAAGTAAGATATTTTTTACTGGTTTATATAAAGAGGTAGGATGTAATAAAGCTTTTTTATACTTTCCCGTCTGCCTATTTGTCGTTTAGATCTTATTTTTATCACCTTAGACTAATACTACTTTTTTTGTTTGCGAAATAAAACCTTACACCAAGTCATGCAGTAGACTTTATTTTAAGATGTTGATTGGCACTCTGTTTAATTGTATGTAAAGGAAATTTTGTTGGTAATTGACTCGTTTTACCCTATGGGCTAAAGAAATGTTTTTACTTTTACCCGTTTTAGGTAAGGATAATTAACTTTTCTTCATTACTAGTTAGGCTAAGGGTAAAGGATTAGGTATTTGGGCAATAACAAGGTTACACTTATCCTACTTTTTACCACACCCAGATGTCATATCATACTCCCTTTAAAAGCACGAGTTCGGAAAAATCTTTCTATGGTCAGTATTACCCTTAATTTTTTTTAAATATTACATTGTTATCCTAATCTATTCTAATTTTAATCATATCTTATCTAATTCCACATGAACTATCTATAGGTCAACAATTTAAAAAAAATTATTTTGAATATTTCACTTAAATCTTAATCTATCCAAATACTAATTATATCCTATATTAACTCCATATGAACTACCTATAACTCAAAAATATAGAAAAAAATATGATTAAGAAATTATACGTAGATAACATATTATAATACATGAAGTATTATAAAAAACCCCAAAAGTTTCAAAATTTACATATAATAGCCTTAAAAGTTTAAAATTACACAAAACGCCTTGACTTTTTAAAACTTAAAAACAAACATGATATCTAAAAATTTAAAACTTGTAATTAACACCCTCAAAATTTTAAAAATTGTAGAAACAACCTCAAAAGTTTAAAGGCTAAATTACATTTATATACCCTATGTGTTTCGCTCTTGAAGCAGTTATATACCCTAAGTTACAAAATATAGCAAAAAAATATCCTGAGTAGGCAAAAATTTGCAAGTTGGTACCTTCTGTTAACCAACTGTGAGAATATTCTCTGGAATATTCTCATGTGTTGGACCTATAACCAACTTGAATACTTCTGACCCTCATTTATTGTATTATTTACTGTATTACCTACCCCCCCCTCCGCGCGCACAAATTAGATTATTTTCATCATCATCTTCTTCTTTTCGTGGCCTCCAACTTCTTCTTCCTCTTTAATATGGGTAACAGTAGAAAATTAGAGCTTTCACTATGTTGGGGGGAGGTTAATTCTTAAGGAGGGGCATTATTGTCCTTTCATATATTTTTAAACATCGTTAGCTAAATTTAAAGAGTTACCAACTCAGGGTATTTTTTTGCTATGTTTTGTAACTTAGGGTATATAACTACTACAAGAGCAAAACAATAGGGTATATAAGTGTCATTTAGCCATGTTTAAATTAAAAAAAACATTCTAAAATTTAGAGATTTCAAAACTTAGAAACAACATAGATGGATTCCAAGGATTACCATTAGGCACATAGAAATTTAAAATTAATAAATAACAATAGCCTCAGAGGTACAAAAATTACAAAAACTCTCTCAAAAGTAAAAAATTATTAAAAAACTCTAAAATTTTAAAACTTATAACTGGTACATATCAAATTTAGAAATTATCAGCAGATTGCAAAAAAAAAATTTAAAATTTTTAAAAAACAACCCAAATTTTTAGTATTATAAAAATACCTTCAAATTTTCAGAGTTACGAGAAATATTCTAACATTTAAAAACTTATCACCAATACATGAAACATGAAAATTATAAACACCCAACTTAAAATTTAGAATTTTCATAAAATACTATAAAAGTTTAAAAATTGTAAAACACACCCTCAAAAGTTTAAATCACAAAAGGCTGAAATTTGACAAAGAAAAGAGGAAATGTTTGATATTACTACATTAAGATATAATAGGTTAGCATTAATTGATTATAATGTATAAACATTTATCTCTAATGTTGATAATATTTATTTATAAAGTAAAAAAATACAATGAGTTATGTATGGAGAAACTATCAGAAAGTTTAGAGATATTCTTTAAAAGAACTAAGTTGTTTTCATTTCAAATGGAGAAGTGAAGGAAATAAACTCAAAATTCAGAAACATTCATGAA